AAATATGTATTAAACAATTAAATTATACACAGATTTAAGAGTACCTTCTGGTATAACTTCATAATAATTTCTGTCCTCTGGTGAACATATCCTACCAAGTTCAAAAAAGAAATATCAGGAATGACAAGGAAAGAATAAGGTTTTTGTTTGTCTGTTCATTTGTGTGTTTGTTTTTTTGCACTTGCATCAACTTTCTTCATTTCAAGCTATTTGGTCATTTTGAATTTAGGATCTGTATAAAGGTCAGTTGAACTCTTCTTTGGTCAGCTTCACCTACCCTTCCCACCAAGCTTTTGCACTGCCAGAAGTTTTAAATATACCATGCCTTGTAGGGGAGAGATCCAGGGCAGGGATGCAGGAGATGTGCACCCCATCCCTCTGAGATGACCTGCACTTTTCTTACACCTGTATAAGAAAACTCAGCAGTTTGTTTGTGTTGGAGAAAAACATGAGAGAGGATTGAAAAATGTATGTCTGATGCCTTGAGAATGGTAGTTTAGCATGGCTGTTTCAAGCACTAGCTCTTCTTTTCGTCAGTCCAGACATCAGCTGGGTCATTTGTTACTGGTCCCACTATGTCCTGAGAAAAACTCTGGATCCACCCATTTGTGCATTTTTGAAGATTGTTAAGAATTGCAGTAAAATAAATGTGATACCTGACCTTGTGTATTTGTACCAAAAATATGGTAAAGTTGCGACAATATAGCCAAGTTTTCCGTCACAGTCTTTCTCTTTGGCAAACACATGAACATTCTATCCATGCAGTAATAAAATTAAATCTCACTATAAAATGTGCTCAGTTACAGTATTTCATTACTTCCTATCATTGAACTAGTTTTGCTTTACAGTGAGAATGAACTCAAAAGTACAGTGACTGTAGAAAGAGAAAAACAAATCCAAAAAAACTGCTATTGCTAGTTAAAAGGTAAAAACCCAGTTACTTCACTTACATTCCAAGACATTCTTTCAGAAACAAATAAAAATTTAGGTGAAGTAACTCTGCTGAATCAATTATGGAATGGTTGACGCACAGAAAAAAATTAATTTTCTAGCTAAGATGAGAGGTAAACTGTAAACCTTCACTAATGATTGTCTGCCTTGGTGTGTGTCAGGAACAGCTACGTCAAATTTGTCAAAGTAGAATTCTTATTCTAAAATCGTGAGAAGTTGATGTTTTGTTAACCATTGAGATTCCCTAAACTGCAGGTATGTTTTTCTTTGAGGATTACAATTCCCTTTCTGAGTGATACCAGGCCTATACACTTTACCTGCCAATCACAGTGAATTACATCATAGTTGAAGAAAGCTTTAAGAAAATGATAACTTTGAGGTGACAAAAAAATATAGTTAATATCATGTTTGCTAAAAAGTATGTCTCAACTCCCAGAAATTAGAATAAATTAAATGAAACTCTTGAACCTTTAGCTCACCTACCTCTTGACAGGTCTTGAGGTAATCAAAGGCCATCTGTTGTCGTGGGAAAGTTTCAAAGACAGGTGGAGGGTCGTCTATCCTAAAAAACATCATCAATGTTAGGGACGTAACTTCACAACTGAGTTGTAATTTTAATTACTAGCAAAGATAAGAGTAAAGCTGAACATGCAGAGTTGTGGAAGTGACAGAGTAAGTCTTTTCTAAAGTACCCATTACACCCACTAGAAACACATTAGACATTCAGTCTTTTCTAAAGCACCCGTTACACCCACTAGAAACACATTAGACATTCAGTCTTTTCTAAAGCACCCATTTACACCCACTAGAAACACACTGAACATTCAGCAGCTATAAAACCTTAGGGGACAGGCCTAACTTCAACAGCAACTATGAGATTTAAAAAGTTCAAATCACAATGAGGAGGGGCATTGGGATTTCTGGTCTTGCAGTTTTGGCTATTTTTTAGACTGGTTTTCAGTTTTTAGCCGAAAAAAAATCTGCTTTTCGGTTTTCGTGCTCATTCCAGTTTGCAGATTTTCCATTTCTTTTAACATGGTTTCCAGTTTTTAGCCGAAAAAAATCTGCTTTTCGGTTTTGGTGCTCATTCCAGTTTGCAGATTTTCCATTTCTTTTCACATGGTTTTTGGTTTTTATCAAAAAATTCCAATGGGTTTCGCATTTGGAACCAGACATGGTTTTCGGTTTTTCCTATTTAGGTTTTACATTTCTCTTGTCTCACTGCATTAGGGTTTTGATAACAGGGATGGGGAAATTTAATCATTTTGATGGTTTTACACATGGTTTTCAGCTTCCATCTGCTTTTTTTTTCTTTTTTTTTTTTTTTTTGCAGTCTCTAATAGACCCCAATACCCCAATGCAACATTGGTTCTACCTGCACACAACCTCATGGATCTTGGGGTGCTGTATTTTGAGGAAAAGGAAGTAAATAGGAAGCAAAATATAAAAGCTAGTCCATGCTGGCATTTTAGTGAGATTCGGAGCATGCTAGGTTGTTTTCTAATCATTATCATCCCTTTCCTAATTAATTAAGTTAATAAAAAAAATTTCCCATTAAACTCCTGGTTTATATGATCATTTTTATCTTTATCTTTATCTAAATTGTTTGGTTCACTGATTAATTATAGCATAATCGTACATCTTAATTTGGTGACATATTAAATTTTTTTAAGCCAAAGGTGTAAATTGGAATTGTGTAGGGACCATTTGTAACTAAAGATGACACGAGGGTAGGATTTCCGCACTGCACAGCCCCATACTTATGTATTATGTATTATGTACACAGTTTATGGATAAAAAAAATGTTACTTC